CATTCCCGTTCCCATTCCCGTTCCCAGCCGCAGTCCCTGGCGCAGTTCGGGCGCCCCAAGATCGACGGGGAGCTGAAGGTCTCCAGCACCGAGAGACGCTCCAAGGTGGACAGGTGGGCCGGGGACACCTGGGGACACCTGGGGACACCACAGGGATGGGACACCAGGACTTGGAGCCGGGGCCGGTCCATGGGGACGCCCCGTGGTGGCCTCGGGGACGCGGTGCCACCCTGTCACCGTCCCCAGGTACGGCTTCCTGCTGGACAAGGCCCTGATCATCTGCAAGCGCCGCGGGGACTCCTACGAGACCAAGGGCGTGGTGGAGCTGCAGAGCCACCAACTGCGGGACGGTGGCCTCGGGCCCCGCGACGGCAAGAAGGTACCGGGGACACCGTGGGGACATCAGGACCCCAGTGTCCCTCCAGTCCCAGCGTCCTCCTCCCAAAGGACCCGGGTGGACACAAGTGTCCAGTCCGGTGGACCCCAGGATCCTGGTCCCTGGTGGACCCCAAAACCCCGGTCCCTGGTGGACCCCAAAACCCCGGTCCCTGGTGAACCCCAAAACCCCGGTCCCTGGTGGACCCCAAAACCCCAGTCCCTGGTGGACCCCAAAACCTGCTCAACCCTGGTGTCCGTGTCCCCACCACTGGGGGGGTGTGACCCCAATATCCCCAGTTCTGCGTGACCCCGCCCCATTTGGGGGGCGTGGCTGACCCCTCCCCACCCCGCAGTGGTCCCACACCTTCGTGCTGCTGGACCCGGCCGGGCTGCAGGACTACGAGCTCTTCTTCAAGACGCGCGAGCTGAAGAAGAAGTGGCTGGAGCAGTTTGAGATGGCCCTGTAGGTGGCCCTGTCCCCCTGGAGGAGGTGACACCCGCCCCGCTGGGTGGTCCCGGGGAGGCCCAGCTCGTCCCCAACGGACCTGGGTCCTCCTGGTGTCCGGCAGGTCCAACATCTTCCCCGAGCACGCCCTGGCCGACGGACACGACTTCCAGATGTTCTCCTTCGAGGACACCACGTCCTGCAGAGCGTGCCAGATGTTACTGAGGTGGGACCCCAAAATCACGTCCCCGCGGTCCTGGGGAGACCCCGGGGGGGTTGGAGGAGGGGGTGGGTGGGGTCAAGGGGAGGTCAAGGTGGGTCAAGCCTGGTCAGTCCAGGCCTAGGGGTCAATCATGGACTGGTCAGTCCTGGGTGGGCTCAGGTCCATCATGGAGTGGTCAGTGCTGGACAGGACGAGGTCCATCATGGACTGGTCAGTCCTGGACAGGATGAGGTCAATCATGGAGTGGTCAGTCCTGGGTGGGCTCAGGTCCATCATGGAGTGGTCAGTGCTGGACAGGACGAGGTCCATCATGGACTGGTCAGTCCTGGACAGGATGAGGTCAATCATGGAGTGGTCAGTCCTGGGTGGGCTCAGGTCCATCATGGAGTGGTCAGTGCTGGACAGGACGAGGTCCATCATGGAGTGGTCAGTCCTGGGCGGGCTCAGGTGGGTGTGGGGCGTGGCTGGTGGTGTCCCCAGTGACCGTGACCCCGTGTCCCCTCCGTGTCCCCTCCCTGTCCCCAGAGGCACCTTCTACCAGGGCTATCGCTGCAGCCGCTGCCGGGCCCCCGCCCACAAGGAGTGCCTGGGGCGCGTGGGGACCTGCGGGAAGGCCGGAACTGGTGAGGGGAACAGTGGGACTGGGGAATTGTGGGATTGGGGGAAACGGGGGGTGGGGCAGGAGGGGGACGGGGAGGGCGGGACACGAGATTACGGGATACAAGATGGCCGACACAGAAGGGCATTGTGGGATACAAGATGGCCGACATTGAGCGTTACGGGATACAAGATGGCCGACACAGAAGGGCATTGTGGGATACAAGATGGCCGACATTGAGCGTTACGGGATACAAGATGGCCGACACAGAAGGGCATTGTGGGATACAAGATGGCTGACACAGAAGGGCATTGTGGGATACAAGATGGCTGACACAAGGGCATTGTGGGATACAAGATGGCCGCTATGTGGGATGCCTTAATGATGGCCGTCCATTGAGCGCAAACACTAAGAGTTAATTATTAATTAGGGGTGGGGTCAGTTAATTACAAATTACGCCATCATTAATTAAGAAAGGCACTAATTACCCCCCCCCCCGCTAACGAGGTTTTCCCCTCCCCAGATTCCGGCGCACGGAAGGTACCAAACTCCGGGAAAACGGCTCCGGGTGGGCTGAAATCCCGGGATTTTTTGGGGGGATCCCTTGGGGGAGTCCCGGGGGTCTCTGGGGGGGGGTCCTGCCCCCCCCCAGCCCCCCCAAATCCTCCCCCCTCACGGGGGTCTCGTCCCCCCCAGAACAAATCGCAGCGGCCGGGACCCGACCGGAAACGGGAGGAGCTGGGTGAGGAATCTGGGGGGTCCCGACCCCTCCCAGGACAGATTTTGGGGCAGGGGGGGGTTTAGGGGACCCCCCCCCAATCCATTTTTGGGGGTCCTGACTCGGGGTTCGCCCCCCCCAGGACTCCCCAAAATGGAGAGCACCCAGGCCTACGGCGGCGTGCCCCCCCCGCCGGGGGTCCTGGCGCCCCCCCTGCGCCTCAGCCCCGGTGACGTCATCGAGGTGACGGCGGCCGAGGCCGAGGAGCTCTGGTGGCAGGTGGGGGACACGGGGGGGACACCGGGGGGGGGACACGGGACCCCCGAAATGGGGAGGGGACCCCCAGGGTGGGTTTGGGACCCCTAAAATGGGGACTGGGACCCCCAAAATGGGGACAGGACCCCTGAAATGGGGATGGGACCCCCTGGGTGGGTTTGGGACCCCTAAAATGGGGACGGGACCCCTGAAATGGGGAGGGGACCCTCAGGATTGGGAGGAGACCCTCAGGGGGACTCTTGGGACTGGGGGGGGGACCCCCAGGGTGTGTTTGGGACCCCTAAAATGGGGACTGGGACCCCTGAAATGAGGACGGGACCCCCAGGGTGAGTTTGGGACCCCCCAGGGTGTGTTTGGGACCCCCAAGATGTGAAATCGGGTCTGGGGGCACCCCCATGGTCATGCGAGACCCCCGTGGTCCTTCCCCACTCCTGGGGGTCCCAGGGCACCCCAACAACCATTGGAGACCCCTCCCCATGGCCCTTCCCACCCCCCGAGATTTTGGGGGGGGGGATCCCCCATTCCCAATTGCTGGGGTGGGGGGGGGTCTCAGGGTCTCCCCCAAGCCTGGGGGGTCTCGGGACCCCCGCCCGGACCCCCCCAAATTTCCCCTCAGGGCCGGAACGTGGCCAGCGGGGAGCTGGGCTGGTTCCCCAGCAGCGCCGTCAGACCCTTCGTGTCCGTGAGTTTGGGGGACCCCCCCCCAAAAAACCCCCCCGGGGGTCATTGGTGGGGGGGTCCCCGAATTTGGGGAGGGGGCTCTGGGATGTTGGGGGGGTGGGGGGTGTCGCGTTTGGAGCCCCCACCCCAATTTTGGTGTTCCGCCCCTTCCCTCAGGTGCCGCTGCCGGATCTCTCCGCCTACCCCTGGTCAGTGGTGGGACCCCCAAAATCCCCCCTGAACCCCCAAATCCTCCCCTGAACCCCCAAAATCCTCCCCTGAACCCTCAAATCCTCCCCATAACCCCGGAATCCCCCCTGAACCCCCAAATCCTCCCCATAGCCCCCAAATTCGCACCTGGGACCCCCAAAATCCTCCCCATAACCCCCAAAATCCTCCCCTGAACCCCCAAATCCTCCCTGAATCCCCAAAATCCTCCCCTCAACCCCCCAAATTCGCACCTGGGACCCCCCAAATCCTCCCCTGAACCCCTCCCCTCCCTCTCCCGTTTTTGGGGTCAAACCCCCCCCGGTTCGGGGGCCTTGGGGCTGTGGGGGGAGGTCCCGGGTGGGGTTTTTTGGGGTTTTGGGGTTGAGTATTTGGGATTTTTGGGGTTTTTGGGTATTTTTGGGGTTTTTGGGTATTTTGGGGTTTTTGGGGTGACTCCCCCTGACCCCCCCCAGGTTCGGGGGGCCCCTGGAGCGCGCGGGGGCCGAGCAGGTTCTGTCCCCGCGCTCCGACGGCGCCTTCCTGGTGCGGCAGCGGCTCCGCGAGCCCGGGGACTTCGCCATCAGCCTCAAGTGAGGGACAGAGGGGACAGCGGGGGGACAGCGGGGACACTGGGGACATTGGGGGGATTGGGGACATTGGGGACATTGGGGACACTGGGGACATTGGGGACATTGGGGGGACATTGGGGACAGTGGGGACACTGGGGACAGTGGGGACATTGGGGACATTGGGGACATTGGGGACATTGGGGACATTGGGGACATTGGGGACACTTTTGGGGACAGTGGAAATATTGCGGGGACATTGGGGGGACAGTTGGGGACATTGTGGGGACAGTGGGGACATTGGGGACATTGGGGACAGTGGAAATATTGCAGGGACATTGGGGGGACATTGGGGACAGCGGGAACATTGGGGACATCGGGGACATTGGGGACAGTGGGGACATTGGGGACATTGGGGGACATTGGGGACATTGGGGACATTGGGGACATTGGGGACATTGGGGGGACATTGGGGACATTGGGGACACTGCAGGGAGGGGGAGAGGGAGGGAAGGAGGGAGAGGAGTCACGGGGACACATTTGGGGACACTTGGGGACACTTGGGGACACATTTGGGGACACTTGGGGACACTTTCGGGGAGGGCGGGGCGGGGCAGGGGTGACGGCGCTGCGCAGGTACCGCGGGCAGGTGAAGCACATCAAGGTCACGGCCGGCCAGGGCCTCTACTGGGTCACCGAGAAAAAAGCCTTCAAGGGGCTGGTGGTGAGAGCCGCACCCCAAACCCTGCGGGGACACCCCAAAACCCTCCCCAGAACCCCTGAACCCCAAAACCCTCCCCAAAACTCCCCCTGAACCCCAAAACCCTCCCCAGAACCCCAAAACCCTCCCCAAAACTCCCCCAGAACCCCAAAACCCTCCCCAGAAACCCAAAATCCTCCTGGGGTCACCCCAGAACTCCCAGAACCCCAAAACCCTCCCCCAAACTTCCCCAGGAACCCCAAAATCTTCTTAGGGTCACCCCAGAACTTCCAGGACCTCCCCCAAATCCTCCCGGGGATGTTTTTGGGGTCCCTGAGCCCCTCGAGGATGTTTTTGGGGTCCCTGAGCCCCCCGGGGATGTTTTTGGGGTCCCTGAGTCCCCCGGGGATGTTTTTGGGGTCCTGGCAGGAGCTGGTGGAGTTCTACCGGCGGAATTCCCTGCGGGATTGTTTCAAGGCGCTGGACACGACCCTGGCCGTGCCCTACAGGGACCCCCAGAGCCGCGCGGGGCCCCGGGAGCCGGGTACGGGGCTGGGGGCGACAGCTGCGGCCCGGGGGGACCCCCGGGGGGTGCACGGGGTGGCCTTTGGGGACATCGCCGTGTCCCCCCCGTGTCCCCGGGGGCCACCCGCGGCTCCGGATGGGTTTGGGGTGGGATTCGGGGTTTTGGGGTTGGATTTGGGGGTTTGGGGTTGGATTTGGGGTGGGATTTGGGGATTTTGGGGATTTGGGGCGGGATTTGGGGACATGGCCGTGTCCCCCCGTGTCCCCAGGTGCCACCCGCAGTTTCGGCTCGGCCAAGGCTCGCTACGACTTCAGCGCGCGGGACCGGACGGAGCTGTCGCTGCGGGAAGGGGACATCGTGCGCGTCCTCAGCAAGAGGGGACAGCCCGGCTGGTGGAAAGGGGAGATCTACGGCCGGGTACGGCTGGGGACATCCTGGGGACAGCGGGGACAGCCTGGGGACACCCTGGGGACGCTGGGAATGGCTTGGGGACACCCCTGACCCCATTCCCACCCCCTGGGGACACCCTGGGGACACCCCCTGGGGACAGCCGGGTCCCTGAGCCCCTGTCCCCCCTCCCCAGGTCGGGTGGTTTCCCGCCAATTACGTGGACGAGGAATATTCGGATTATTGCTGAGACCGACGCGTCACTGTCATTGTCACCCCCACATCGGTGTCACCCTGTCACTGTCACCCCCGTGTCACTGTCACCCCCCCGTCATTGTCACCCTCCTGTCACTGTCACCCCCCCGTCATTGTCACCCCCACATCGGTGTCACCCCCTTGTCACTGTCACCCCCTTGTCACTGTCACCCCCGTGTCCCCGAGCCCCGATCCCGGTAATTTATGGCTCTTCCCGCGCGGGAGGGACAATAAACGAGGATGAGGATGAGGATGAGGATGAGGATGAGGATGAAGAGGAGGATGAGGAAGAGCTCCGGGGAGGGGGGGAGGAATTTTACGGGAAAAGGCCCCAAAAAAAGGGAATTCCAGGAAATTCCTGGCACGCGGAAAGTCCGGCCGGGGGCAAAGGTCAAGGCCGGACCCTGGGGTTGGATCCCGGGAATGGAGCCGGGTGTCCGGCGGGGCGGGAATTCCGGGATCTGGGGAATTCCGGGATTTGGGGAATTCCGGGATCTGGGGAATTCCGGGATTTCGGGAATTCCGGGATCTCGGGAATTCCGGGATTTGGGAAATTCCGGGATTTCGGGAATTCCGGGATCTCGGGAATTCCGGGATTTGGGAAATTCCGGGATCTCGGGAATTCCGGGATTTGGGAAATTCCGGGATTTCGGGAATTCCGGGATTTGGGGAATTCCGGGATTTGGGGAATTCCGGGATCTGGGAAATTCCGGGATTTGGCGAATTCCGGGATCTGGGGAATTCCGGGATCTGGGGAATTCCGGGATTTTTGGGAGGGGAATTCCAGGATTTTTGGGATGGGAATTCCAGGATTTTGGGAAGGGACTCGGGTGACACAGACCCAGGCCAGGGGGTCCCGCAGCTCCCAGTTTGATCCCAGTTTGATCCCAGTACGATCCCAGTCAAGTTCCAGCGCGATCCCAGTAAACACACACAGGTTTATCGCCCCTCTTCCCGAGTTTCCAGAATGTTCCCGGGACTCTGGGGTGAATTCCCGGGATTTGGGGTCAGGGGGGTCCCTCGCAGACCCAGGCCAGGGGGGTCTCGCAGGGATAATCGGCCCAGAGCCCGTCCTGCCCCACGGCCGCGCAGTTCTCCAGGGAACCCCCGTTGGGCTCGTCCCGGTGCCACCAACTGCCCCCACCCCAAAAAAACACCGGCATCGGGATCACAGAAATCCCAAAAATATCCCCGAGTCCCGAAAATCCCACCCGAATCCACAGCAAATCCCAAAAAATCCACCCCTGCCCCCAGGTTGTCCGAATTCCCTAAATCCCGACTAAATAACCCCAAAATTCCCAAAAATTATCCCCAAAATTCCCCAAAATAAATAATCCCCCAAATCCCCAAAATAATCCCAAAATTCCCCAAATAATCCCCAAAATAATCCCCAAAATTATCCCAAAAATCCCCAAAGTTATCCCAAAAATTATCCCAAAAATCCCCAAAATAACCCCAAAAATCCCCCAAAAATCTCCAAAATAACCCCAAAAATCCCCAAAATTATCCCCAAAATAATCCCAAAAATCCCCAAAAATCCCCCAAATAATCCCCAAAATTATCCCAAAAATCCCCAAAATAACCCCAAAAATCCCCAAAATTATCCCAAAAATCCCCAAAATAACCCCAAAAATCCCCAAAATTATCCCCAAAATTATCCCAAAAATCCCCAAAATAACCCCAAAAATCCCCCAGAAATCTCCAAAATTATCCCAAAAATCCCCAAAAATCTCCCAAATAATCCCCAAAATTATCCCCAAAATCCCCAAATTAACCCCAAAAATCCCCAAAAATCCCCCAAATAATCCGGGAAAGTATCCCAAAAATCCCCCAAAATATCCCCAAAATCCCCAAAAATATCCCCAAAACCCCCAAAATATCCCCAAAATCCCCAAAAATATCCCAAAAACCCCCAAAAACCCCCAAACCCCCCCGAACCCCCCAAGCCCCACCTGTTGTTGGGGTCCAGGGCGGTGCCGTCCCCGCGGGTCCAGGTCCCCTCCTGATCCCGGTCACGGATCCCGAGCCAGGACGGGCCCCGGAGCTGGGCCTGGATGTGGCGCTGGGGAGACCAGTCCGGACCAGTATAAACCAGTATGGACCAGTACGGACCAGTTCAGACCGATATAAACCAGTATAAATATGTATAAACCAGTGTGGACCAGTATAAACCAGTACAAACCAGTATGGTCCCCTGGACCCATCTGGGATCTGGGGGGAATTTGGGGATTTATAGGATTTACGGGATTTATGGGTTTTAGGAGGAATCTGAGGGGAATTTATGGGATTTGGGGAATTTATGGGATTTAGGGGGGGGATTTTGGGGATTTGGGGGGGAATTTTGGGATTTCTCGGGATTTGGGACCTCACCTTTTCCTCGGCATCGTCGACCTCGAGCAGCTGCGCCCCCAAAGCCGAGCAGAAAAACTGGGAATTCTCCCAGGAAGCGGCGGATTTTGAGAAGAAATAACAGGAATTCCGGAAAAAGACCCAGCCCTTGGAGCAGGGCAGGAGACCTGGGAAAATCCCAAAGGTTTGGGGTCGGGATTGGGGAAAATCCCAAAGGTTTGGGGTCGGGATTGGGGAAAATCCCAAAGGTTTGGGGTCGCTTTGGGCTTGGACTGGGTCAGGATTGGGTTAAATCCCGGAGATTCTCAGAAAGCTCCGAACCAAGTCCGGAAAATCGGGGAAATTCGGTAAAACAGCAAAGAGAGCCCCAAAAATGTGGGGAAACCCCAACGCAAGCCGGGAAAAGTGGGGGGAAAACCGGAGGAAATCGGCGAAAAAACTGGGAAAAAGACGGGGGGATGTCGGGAAAAAAGTCGGGGGAAAAGTCGGGGG